ATTTCTTACATTTAATTGTTTAACAGGAAAAATTTGTAAAAATCGTAAATAAATCAACGAGTCTGCGAAAACTGCCTTAAATAAAAAGAAAACGCCATCGAAATATTAATACAAGTGTTTTTAATGAAAAACACAAACGTGCGTACACACTGAGAATAACTAAAACCACAAAAGAAATTTTTTTCTACAAATAATATACAACATCAGTATTAAAAAAAAAATAAAGAAAAGCGAAGGGAGAGAGGGATCCTCTTGACTTTAAGAGAAATTACGAGAAAAAATGTATTTAAAAATATCTTTTCTAATCTGTCAATAATTTTAAGTATGTCTAACAAACGAAATAAATTAAGTTCGTTTTTATTTAATTATTAATGAGACAGGTTTTACGAATGGTTAACGAAACGATTTTGCCTTGGAAAGGGAGCGAAATTGATTTAATTTGAGAGATTGTTTGTCTTTTGCTAAGTTATCAACACACTCTCATTCTCTCTCTTTCGTTCTCTCTTCAGATAACAGTTCAGTAAACAGTATGAAAGCGAAACGGCAAAGCTCAATTCCGCAATGACCAGAAAGTACTCACAACACACATTAAATAAAAAAACCGATGATGACAAAGAAGACAAAATAAAACAGATTTCTTTATTCGTTAAGACATTTGCGAACACTGATATATTAAACCAAAAAAATATTTTCGCGACCACCTCCCTCCCTCCCTTACGAGGAAAAAAACGTTTTTATAATAAGAACAAATAAAACTAATTAATTTCTTTTGCATTTTATTAAAAAAAACAATACTTGAAAGCTCACTATTCTGTAATTCTGTATTTAGTAAATTATTACACACGCGCACACAACAAACGTAAATAACAAGAAAATTGCTGCTTTTTGTATTTAAACAAAACCTAATATTAATTATTTTTTAATCTTTTGGTGCTTTAATAGTCGCGTACGCGCGACAACGAATTCCTACCATCCGTTTAAAATGAATATTAGCAACTACAGCAACAAAATACATATGGTCATACGGTTACTTTTAAAAATAAACGCTGAAATGCTGAGAGTATGAAATTCAATTTGTGAGCGTAAAATTGACTTTGCTGTACATTCTTATGCAGATGCAAAAATAAATAGTGAGAATAATAAATTCAATTTCTGAGCGTAAAATTAGAGTGAGAAGAAATTGTGAATCTTGCTGTTGCATCGTTTTCTTAGAATTTTTCACAATTTATTGTTAATATTATTATATTATTGTTGTTAATCTTTAAAATCTTTAGGTAAAAAATTTGATTCTTTAAATATAAAGTCAAACCAGATTTTATACACTCAAATTATAAAAGTGATACAATTTAAAGAGCTGCTAAAATATTTAATAAAAAGGACAGAAAGAGAGAGAAAGAGCGAAAAATAGAGAGAAAATATGTAAATTGCTTCCAATAAGAATTTTTAGCTGGCAGTACTTAGTATTTATATTAATATAGCTATCTTCTTTTCTCCAGAACATTTTCTATGAAACCGGCAAAGAAAAATGTTTAAAGTGCAAAACTGCCGTTGTCGTACACCAATGCAATGAAGCTAATGGGGAACTCTTACTCTCTTATAGATATGTAAGTAAACACCTAAAGTACACAAAAACACTTATGATTACGTACTAAAGCAAAAGGCCAACAAGGAAAATGCAATTGGATTATAAATAATGGCGGATGGGAGCAAAAATACATAAAGAAACAAACAATGTAAAAAATAATATCAATACCTAGAAAGAACTTTAATTGAAGTAGGCTCTATAGCATACTTACATTACATGTGCAGAAGCAGTACTTATTACTTATATAAAACTTTACCACAAAATCAAAATAGATTTTTTTACAATACAAAATAAAAATTAAAAAATTTTGAAATAGTAGATAAAGATAATGTGAAAACAATGCATTAGTCTTACAAGAAAGAATAAAGCTCCATCTTTCTGTTTTTTGTTTTTTTTTTTCATTCTCACTCTCTCTCGCTCTTCCTCTCTCTATACATCTTTTAACACTCAGTAAAGCTTTTATTTATTATATTGTCTCATATTTAAAAGAAAAAAAAAGGAAAACCAAACCTCTGCAATAAAACTTGAAATCAATTTTAATGCTTCAAATATAAGTTTCAAGTTCCACTTAAGCTAATAGAGAAAGATTAGCAAATTTCTCTCTGTTTTTTTTCTTTCCTACTTTATTCATTGCTGCTACATTTCTCTCAATTTTTTCAAATTTTCTTTTCGCTACTGATAAGAAAATCAATTCTCAGCTGTATTTACTCTATAAAGAACTCTATATTGCACAACATGACTAAAAAACGCTATTTAGTGATAAACTTGGATAACGAGCTCTAACGGAGTAAGTCAAATGTTAACGAAGTTTAAGGTAGGTAACGTTGATTATGCCGCTGCGCGTTCTCACGCATAATTACGTTAAACTAAACGGAAAGACATTCACGTTTTATAATCGATTATAATCCTGGTTTGATTTATAAGTTTTGCGTTTTCAAAACATTTCGTTTGTGACTATGAACAAATGTTATCTCCGCCAAAAAAATCTGTATCATTTATAACAAAGAACTTTAAAGAGAGTCGGAACGGTTTTACAAGACAGAAGAGTCTGAAGAATTTTAGCGCCTATGAAGACCTCGCAAATGCTAAAAAATGAAAATCTCGGGTCAAAATTTTAGATAAAAATGGATATAGTTCAGATTGAAACACAATCATATGAACACATGATTGCGTTTGACATGATTTTGCGCACACATTACAGTGAATGCTCAATCGGTTAAGTATAACAGTTGTCGATCGTGCATACGCCCGCTAGGCTGCGGCCGCTTCCCTATCTCGTTTTCTTTGCTCGCTTTTTGCTAACCATCATCGTATTCAACAAATTCGTGGCATCCTATACAATAATATACATGCAATAAAAAAGGAGAAGCTTGAGGAAGAGTAGGGGTATTATATACACACATATATAACGACCAGTCAAAGATAAACATCAACAGGAGTTTATACAAATTTAAGAGAAAATGAATTATTTCGATCTTGTAATTAATCTAAAATAATTAGTATTCGAGAATAACATAAACCAATAAAGCGGCTTAAGATAAGAAAGACTTCGTTACGGTTTGAAAATTGTCTTTGCCTTCAGTAAAAATTAATCGGCAGTCCTCTGCTATTCTCTAATTTGTTTCTATTATACTTGAGTTCCAAAGTTCAAGTCTATCTTTCTTTGCTTATTCAGCTAAAAGCATAGATTATACAATATTAACAATAAGTAAAGCAAGAAGAAAAACGGTAATAAAAACAAAAAAATTGTAATAATAAAACAAAAATAAAAAAACATTACGGCAACAAGAAAAGCGAAATTGTTTATTGTTTAAATATTTTTGGCTAACTGTACGCGCCCCGTACATGTTACCAACATATGTATATATCATTAATACAAAAAAGTAAAAAATAAAAAACAGTTTAGTGTTTTCCTCTCAATGGCTTCTAATGAAATACTCGACGCTCGCATACAAAGCGATACAAAAAAGTTTCAGCTAACAATAAGCTGCTCTTGAATCGACACGCTACGAAATCGTGTGCGAATAGATGGGCAGAGGGAAGCAAAAGCAAAGCGGCTTCAAAATACTTAATATACAGACGATTTTCGTTGAAAAAAAAAACAATAAAGAGCAAAAATTATATTTAAAAAAAACGAAAATAAAATTAAAACGTTCGCTTTTTTGCTATCCTCGTTTTTTATCGTATCAAGTATGAATTGCAACTTTGAAATCTATCGGTAGATATTCATTCTATATTTATGACGTTTTTGCTATTTTTTTCTTGTTTTCTGTTAAACACATCAAGACTGTCATAATAGTTCTAAATCTACAAAATGGGTGATATATCAACTACAAGAATAATTAGAGGAAGTTGGGCAAGAATGATTTAAGATGGTACAACTAGAAAAAAATAGTTCGATAGAACTAAGAAAAAAGTTTATAGTCTTGTACAAATAGACGTCATCTAAGTAAAGTATTAGATATTGTGAGTAGTTTAAAAAACACTGAGTCTTTGATATATCAAAGTAGATTGATTTTTTATTAAATTTGTATTTACACGCTTTTCTCTAATGTTCGCGAGAAAGTTATGCTATCTCGTTTATAAAGCTCGATATATTGTTGACAAAATCAATACTTATTTTAGACTCACATCCATTTGGCCTACCCTAGTGTCTGTAAACATAGGTTGGATTCAAGTTTAAAAGTAAAGTATATGCTGTAATACGCTTCCGAAAAAGATTTAGAGAAATAAGGAATTTTTCTACCAGGTTTATCAATATACAACCGGATTTTTCGGATGAAAAAAGCGCGTTTACTATATGAAAATGAAAGAAAATATTGTTGGATGCATTTTCCATCGCTAGCTGTACAGTTTTTCCCACTGTCTAACTATTTTTGGATGCCACGTTTTTAAAAATCTTCTCCTTTTGCCGCGAACGTTTCATCCAAACGTTTTTTTCGCATATTCGGACAAACTAAAACGTTATATAAAATTGTCTTATGTTACTTTTTTACGATATTGTGACCGTTTTTTGAACAGTGAATGTTTCACGTCGATTCTTTATAGTATTTCTTTTGTATATATTTCATTTTTAGTAAT